AATACTCTCTGTGTTGGAAGTCGTGAATCCCTTCGCCACGGTTCACTTGCTCGGCGCTCTCGGTTCATTTCGTATACTTGACTGGTTGCGCCGCGCGTTAAAGTTTGCACCGAGGAGAAAGAGTTACACCATCAGCCGAAGTTGTCAGCTCGCCAGCTGATGAACTCTCATCGAGCAGAAAGGCGGAAAGCACTAAGAAAGTTTTGATAACAATATCAATTTGTCGGATGATGAAGTTCTTTCGCGGGTTAATCTTTGAGTTGGGTTCAAACCGATCGTTAAAGGGGGTGGCGCACAGATTTCATCAACGCTGCAGGAGGTCGGGGTGTGCGTTTGAATTCTATTAATTTTTAATTTCTGAGCTTATTTCATCAGTCGATTTAGCGAGATTTGCATTTTGTGATGATCTAGTTAAATTTGCCGGCCACCGCACATTACTATTAATTAACATTTGAAATTCGAATGAAAGCCGCATGCGGTTTGTGTACGCTACCCACAATTCAACATTGATAAGCTTTACAATTCGTAATAATCAGCCGGCGCCGGCGGAACCCGAATTTTTAATCACGTTTTAGGGAAATTTAGTTTAACACGTCCGAAAGTTGCTAAACGCAGACACATCCGTACGCTCGTTTGTTGTTTCAGCCAGATTCGAGCGAATTACAGCCGAGTTTCATCAATAAACGATTCCGATTACCCTTTTGCGGGCGAACCCTTTCGCCGCTAGGTTGCTAAGTTTATTTAGGAAAACGAATGACTAGCGAAATCCTAGCGTTGTTTGAGCCTAATTGCGGAAATGATTTCGAGCTTTTCACCGCGCACGAGTTCCGCTTCCGTCTCGCCCTCTGGACACAATTAGCTCGTTCCAACTTTAGGAAATCGAGAAATCTTCGTGTAGGCCTTGAAATAAAAGCTGTCTCCATGGGGCCCTAGGTGATTTCACCTTAGAAAGCACCGACTCACGCAGCAGATTACACGGATTTATTACTTTTTCTTCGGCTGGAGATTCGCGTTCTGTTTGTTCCGTTACTTTCGCAGCACAAAACGTGTTTCCACAATCTGCGCTGACTTCCTTGACGTTCTGACGGATCTCGATTTGACTTGTCGACTCGTTCCAACTTTGTTTTCGAAGAGTTGGCGTGCGAAACGTGAATATTTACTGATAAGCACGACTGTTTGCTGTCAGTTTGGGCGCGGGGCGAAGCGAAATTGATGCGTGATGCCGCGTCGCAATCGCGTTGAAAAATGGCTTCATTTAAGTGATGGATGCGTGCCTTCAAACCCTTCATGCGTCTTCCGAAAGCAAAAAGGAACAAAGGTGAACGCAATCGCCGAGAAGAAAAGAAGAATGATAAAGTTTTGAATGCGTTAATTAACGCTAACGAGCCACTAATTTTACCGACAAATTTATTGCTCGACATCTTGGCAATAAAATTAAAACGCATTTTGTTTGTTGCTGGCTTTGCACTTTCGAGTTGTGATACAAAATATGAATGATATGCTAATGATGACATTTGAATATCTATTATTTACGAGCGTCCTTTATGCCCAAATATTATGAATAGGCTTGGTGTATTCTGCCCTTGGGTATATATTTACATTTCCATACACTTTCGACATTTCTATCAAATTACTCGAATTACGGCCGTCGTCTATCAACCGTCAGCATCGAGTGGTATCGAGTTACCGCATTGGAAGTATAATGTCGACGACATTAGATTACGGCCATTGTGCGTCCTCGTGTGTACAAATGTATGAATTAAGGGGGTCGGGGTCGAGCGCCATTGTCGGATGGTGACCACCGGAATGGGCGAGCCTATTTGCGCTGCACTTTACTTGAATTACTTCCGGATATTTGTACTTGCCGACGCGCGCGCGCGCCATTCAAAGGACACACGCACACATATGCACAGGGCGACCACATCGCAAGTGACAGTGGCATCATCGTTGATGGATCCTGATGAATAGGACGATCGATGAATAGCCCCGGCAGTGGCGCCCAATAGGGTTAATGTCGGTGCTTCCAGTTCCATTGTGAAATTATCAGCTGGTCGTGAACGCAGGCCATTCAATTCGGCATTTGATATTAAAGTTTTATTGTTTGGAAGTTTAAAGCGTCGTTATTTGTGTGCTCAACACGTGTTTATGGCACATAATTAAAATCAACATAACCTTAATCGGCTATAACTTGATTTTATTCCGCAGATAATGCTGTGATTATTTGCAAAAATTTAAACCGCATTGTGAGGTTTACAGAGAAATATAGTTATCTTTCAACTACACGACGAAAAATAGAGATATCTAGTTATTTATGTGATTTATGCACTTCATTACAGTTTATTATTGTGCGTTTTATCGTATTAATTATGCGTCGATGCATTTTTTCTGCCTGTATTGCAGTCGGTCGCACAATGCACAAGATTCATTTCGCAGCTTATCGCCTCGTTTTTTAAGAATTGTCATTGTTGGCGATTTCTACGCGTGGAGACTATCGTATTATCGCCAGCACGGCATAAAAAGACACTCTCAACGCGTGCTTTATACACACTCAGCGCTTACCCCATGCTGGCAACTTTTCCAATAAATTATGCGTCGAAGTGCGAGCGAGTTAATTAAGATATGAAATTTATCGACTGTAAACTAGGCGAAGTCGGCGCGAGGGAATCCGATAATACGATAATTTATTAAAATATAATAATATTAGTCGTCGAAGAGTCGCTGCCGCAACTTCTCATTTCTCACTTCTCACTCCGGCTTAATTAACTGGCAAGAAAACGAACAAAAAGCGAGAAGGGTCCGACGAAAACTCGTAATATATGAGGATTTATGAGAATTTATTGATTCCTCTTGTTACCATATTTTTTTATGAATAAAATACAGGATGTAGTGTAAACTCTACAACAAGAGTCGTGATTTAGTTAGTGGCTTCTGGTCGACGTTATGTATACGTTGTTTAAATGTGCGCAATATTACAAGTAGCGCGGTCACGAAGTCGTGCATGTTTCACGACATAATTCCTTAATAACCGTTTTATATGCATACGTACGGCGCACTTGCGAGGAGGCCTATTATGAGTAACGCGCGCGACAAGTACCTTCGCGGTTGAAACGTACGACACACTCGTACACGTCCCAAAGGGGGGAAACCAGCTTGGCATTCTTTATTTTCTCGAAATTTATACTTGAAAACGGCGATCCATTGTGCATCGAAGTAACCGCGCACTCTGGACGTCTGACGTTAATGGTATTTTCAGTGCGTTAAATCAAACGATTTTATATCCCATACAAAACTTACAATTACAGTCACAACCGAGGATATTTCCGTTTGCTGGTTGAGTTTTTTAAAGTCCAGAGGAGACATAAACCCTAATTGAACAACTATGCTGCAGTTTCAAGTTTAGATTGTTTTATTTTTTATTAATATTCAGCTGGTTTATGAAAGATTTGTACCCACGCTGGTGGAGAGAGGCTAATGGTTAATTGAAACTGACTCCCGGTCGAAAGCACGCGGTCGGCGGTTTTCAGGGCGACGCTCGGAAACGCGTAATCTTTCCAACTACGCGGCGCGCCGGCTTAGAGGTTAATTAAATTCCGGGGTCAGTCTACTGTCTTCTCTGCTCCTCCCCGGGCGGGCAGGCGGGTGGTCGGAAGATTTTCCTCCCGGCTTGTTCATCGTTCATCGTTAGCCGTCCACGCTCATCGTTTTTGGTCGTCAATGCCGCGATTACAACTACTACGTGCCAGCGAACTGTGCAAATTGAAATTCTTGGATAATTTCATGGACAAATTGAATTTGCCATCTACAGCCACAACATACGATTTTGCATAATTATTAGATACCAGAAAGTTGGGTCTATTTGATATTAAGGAGCTACCCATAGGAGGTATGACGTTTACAGCTGGGGAAAGAATTTGTGGCTGTAGTTTTGGTCAACATCACTTAGAGGGGCATGCACTGCGTAATTAAATAAACAGCAGAAACAATCAGCCTGCAAATTAAGAAACTGCTATTTCGTGTTGTGGACCTCGGATAACGATGTGAAAGCACCAGACGGACAGTGTCCGGCCAGCACTTTGCGTCTTCATTCATTTATGTTGCACATTTCGCCCCATTTTCCCTGGTTCCCGCACTAGCGTGCAAGCCTCCTGCAATACTCAGCACATGACAAGTTGAAAATCAATATCACCGAGAGAGCTGCACTTTGCTATCTTGCTAATAACGTAAATGATCCGTGCGAGATGGCCATTTACGAAATTAATTTTAGGCCTTTTTTTGTCGTTGCAGACTTTCAACGTCCTTTCAGTGCTTTTCTAATCTATCACGATCTTTCCGTATCGTTCAACGTCCTTCGACCATCGAACAAAAACGCTGAAATGATCTCAATTATAGATAAACGAATGAAATGGGAACACAGTCTGGAGGATTGTGCCATCGAAAGCAATTTTTGTCAAGTGCAGAAAAAAGATTTTGTTGTTTATTTTTAAGCACTGCCGATGACATGTGCTAAGTTTCCTGCCGTTGTGCGCTACAAAACGTGCAGGAAAACATGAAAACATACATTTCAAATGCACATGCGCCAACATTGGCTCCGTGTACATATAATTAAAGAGCGTTCTGTATGTTCGCGCTGGCGAACCTTTGAAGTCCAACGTAAATAATATCATTTCGCTAATGATATCCGCAAATGGGGCATTATACTGTTTGTGTAGGATTTATTTTTGTGCGCGCCGCGTTTTATTTATTCTGTCTTCTCTGCCGGCGGCGTCATTTTTCCGCCTCTGTTTGCCCGCCCCGCCGGTCGTCGGCGGCAAATGGCTGTGTGTATTTTCAATTTTACGTCGTTTTACGGCGCGCCGCGCCAGCTATTTGGCGCCTGCCTTTTGCGAATCTCGACAATTTGCATCGAGAGTCGCGCGATGTCATTCTGCTCCATCTAACAATAACCAACAACACCAATGCGCAATCATGTGCTTCAATGTGTCGCCCACTTTGTGTTGCAGGTCAATACCGTTCGCCGCGCATCACCGAGCATCCGTCCGACACCGTCGTCGCCAAGAACGAGCCAGTGACGCTCAATTGCAAGGCTGAAGGACGCCCCGAGCCCGTCATCGACTGGTTCAAGGACGGCGAACTAGTGAAGACAACCCATGCGGACAACAGCAAGTCGCATCGTGTTCTACTCTTATCCGGATCGTTGTTCTTCCTGCGCACGCTGCAAAGCAAGAAGGAGCAGGATAGTGGCGTCTATTGGTGTGTGGCACGTAACGTCGCTGGATCCACCAGCAGTAAGAATGCGACGCTCACCGTTGCCGGTAAGTACCTCCAATCATCCACTTTATATTGAAAATTCAATCGGGTTGTTTTCCTAACTTAAGCGATATCATCACATTTGCATATCGATAATTTCAATCTACCGGTCTATTCGGTTTCCTTGTTATGATGAGGGAGGGAAGGCTTAATAACTGTCAAACTTTCCAGACGTGCTTAGCTATATCTTCAAACTTATCGTACTTTCGCAGTTTCGAACAGAACAAATCTGGACTTTTGAGCTGTCATTTGTCATACGCGTATACCATCTCTAATCAACTCACCCCTAGTTTGGATAGATCCTGATAATGTGCGTAATGAGCATGAGTTTACGCTCCGTTGGTTTTAAATGCGTATTAGTCTATTGAAAATGTGCATTCTTCATTAAAGCATTTTCCCTTTCATATGACATCAGCATACCCTTCGTCATCATTAGATTTTGATATAAATTACGAAATACGCTATTTTCCTTTCCGCATCCGCTAAATCTCATTCAGCATTAGATCCCTCTTTATACATGGCTTCATTTGCAAATTCATAGATTTGCAATTTGAGCAAATACATCCACTATGATAATACCGTTAGACTGTGTCAGATGAAAGCGTGCGCGTATTCATTGCGATTATAATGCAGAAATAAAATGATATATACGAGTAGAAGAATGGCAGACGCCAGTAACAGAATGAAAATTAATATTGCGTTTAAGTATTCCCCTGGGTGCTCGTTTCCGCAGATAAAACTTTTATGTATTCGACTGATTCAATTGTCAAAGACAATGCAGTATGTGCCGCCGACGAGACGCGACAGATGAAACCCGCTTTTACAATACATTTATGGTTTCAGTAATAACGTACGAACAAATCGATGACAAAGCGTCGAAAATACCCGCTTTTATTACAGTCCACGACAACAACAATACAAGACAAATAATCATGTATTTTAGTTTGTAACAGTCGGGAAAGTTTTTTTTATTAAACAAAACAGAACATCAAGGTAAAAGACGAACGAAAAAAACTCGGAAGTGGCTATAAATTTTATTACCATCCGCGCGACGTGTATTTATAAACAAGGCTTTAATGAAGAAACCGTAGGCAAGGGTTAAATCCATTCAGTTTGGTGTATTTTTTCGTTTTACATTCCTGACGAACGAATTTGTTCGTTTTTGTGCTGTTCCGACCATAGATTCGCAATAATTCCTGCAGACGCCAGCAAAATGCTTACCTAGTCTCGTGCTAGTCGTGCTCGTCGTGAACGCTATCGGCGACGGGCAAGCGGTCGACCCTTTTCATTCGACATTGATGAATGTCGCCGACATCAGCGTCGATCGACGACGCTCGAGAATCCCAATCCCTTCCGAATTCATTCGAGGCACCCGAATTTCGTTCGGTAGACAATGCGCGAGTTTTGGAGAGACACTCGGACATCATAAATCAATTCCTACACGGGTGCCAGCTACACATGTACATGTACATGGTAGTTGGTGTGCTGGATTTCTTGCATGCACACGTGTCACGAGACTGCATATAAAAGCGGCATGTTTATGATTCGAATATTAGATTTATCATCCAGTAAACGCATTATAATAGATCAATTTGTGCGTGTTTGTGCCTCTCCTACGCTTGCTTAACATTTGCATGTTTTTTTTCCTCTTGAAGGGGAATGAATTTTCTGATATTTTGTCGATTAGAAATTTCGTGTCTGCTCATGATGAAGTGAACAAACGAAGAAATTGTTTCGTGCGTGTGTCGTGATTGTATTTTTTGTTCATCACGATTAGCTCGTTATTTTTCTCATTACGAAATAAAATTACAGTGATTAAACACACGTTGCAGGAAACGTATTTTAACTAGACTTCAGTTTCAGTACAAAAAATGAACAGAAAGTAACACGAAAATATTTGTACAAAACACCAGTCATAAAGCCTCGGTGTCGCTTTTATTAACAGACACATGTTTGAAAAATCTGTTTAAAGAGTTAATGGAAATATTCTGTCGAGTGTTCTCCGTCGGCAATAAAACGTAGGCGGCAATAGGGCAATAACGGGCTCAAAACAAAACGTGACAGTTAATCTTCTTTGGTGGTGTTGTCATCGTGCGTGCGCACATCTGCACGTTTTTTATATATATATTTGCGTTGGAAATTCATAGCCTCTTTTGTACAATCCGCCCATGACACACGCACCCAAACTAAGTAAATCTGTAGCAGCAACCGTAACCAAAATGCTGTGCGTGGCGACGTTGCCGCATTGAAACCGCCACGAAGGAAACATGTGTCGAGCATCGCACATGTTTCGACCCGAGTGAGATTTCATTTCATACGCGCGCGGCACATAAATTATATAAATAGACCTCGCGCACAAACCGTCTAATTGTCTATCAGTCAGCCGCGCGGCGCGCACTGCATGCATGTGTCACCGAAATCAACCCTCCAGCGCCCGGTTGTACCCGAAACTGAAACAAACACAACAAACATTCACCCATTCATAACGTTAATTAATTACTGTCGGGGCGTTCATTGCGTATTACGCGACATATTGTAGATTTACTTATCTGCTGCCGGGCTTCCAATTGTAAGTAAACGCTACTTTGTACGATTGTGAGGGCATAATGTACAACATAATCGGATGCGATTAATTAAATTTAATTAAAAACCCTTTGTTCCTTCCATCATCATGGTGTATGCCAACTAGCGCCATATGATATTCGAGAGGGATCCGTTTCCGCACTTCTATTACATCTCTGCATTAATTTTCACATTAATGTTCTATCTGCATGGATATATGACGTAATCATGGGATAATGTGCATACGCTCAAACTGTAATTATAGAAATTCATCAAATTATCACCACCGGTATTTGTCACACACACGTGCACTTATACATGCGTATGCCGCCGCCGCCGACGAGCATAATCGGACTTAATCAACTTAACAACCCGCGCGCAGGCATAAAAAATGATTCATTACCCGACGATTAAAGTGGCACGTAATCTCGCAAGCGCGCCTGTGACACGAAAGGAAAAACCGCACACGAAATCGTCGACTCCAACAAGGCACTTGTATTTTCAGCAGGCGTAGTCCGGTCGAGTTGGCAAACGGCGAAATATTTAATTATGAAAACGTTAATTTACTCACGTTTCCCAAGCGATGCATTTTATGCAGGCGACAAACTTGTCCAAACTTTTCATTTTAATTCTTCAAGTGCGGCGTGCATAATTAATTCTAGAGAGTTAAAAATAATGCCATAACGCCGGCAATTTTAATTGCATAATGTGCCATTCTTGCATATTAACTACTTTTCCATCATCAAAACATCGTTTTCAAAGCAAGAAATTTGAGAAGTAGTTGGTGCATATTAGATAACTATTATTTTAACGCTTTTATATGCACGTTTCAAACAGATGTGTGGACTTGATCGTTGATTTTTGTTGACTTTGGCTTCTGACCTACGACAAATTAGTCGTTTCGACTCACCCTGACCGTGTTGCACGCCTCGCTTGAGCAGTCCAATTTGTCACACAGGGTTTCGTTACGATTCGGCAGGAAACCATAAAGATCGCTCTACATTACGTTGCCATTCATGCGGTCAATTGCCGACGTGGCGGACTGTACGGAAAATTAGTTCCGAACGGCTAAAACAAACATTTGTAGACGTAAAAAAACAAAAAATTAATTGCCACATTGTTTCAATTTATTTAAAAAAAAGTTTACTTCCTGAATTATTACATGGTACCAGTTACGAAGTCTAACAGCACATGTGCAACATAATTAACGAACGATCATGAACTAAATTAAAATGTGGCTTGGAATTAACCAACAGATGTTCGGATTTGCAGTAAAATCTAACCGAAATGCAATGTTTGAATTTCACCAAGATTGTTATACTTTCCTAGTTTATTGTCGGCGTACGGTAATAAAATTTGTGTTTTATTTCCGTCGATAAACGCGCGACTCCTACGCCGCAGTTGAACTCCTCGTACTAGTCCCACATAATTTGTCGTTTTCGTCGACGCATTTTTACAAGTTTCATAAGTTTGTAACGTTTATAAAGCAACTTATGAGTTCGTTGCAAGCGCCCCAAACGACGTGAGCAACAGCTCGAAGTTTATTTATCGCCGTGGTCGTGTTATTAAAGGCGCACGTCGCGCGTAAGCAACGTAAAGTGCTAATCCCTGTAACGGCACTCCAACGCCGCTGAAGTTCGGTGATAAAAAAAATCGCTTCACATATTATAGTACGCTATGCGAGGAAACAAAGTAGCGCGGGCGCGCGCGTTCGTCCGCTACTTTCCGTTACGATTATATCGTGACATGCCAGCCGCCCAAGAAAGAGATCATTGTTTTCGGCCGGAACGCGCTTTTGGTTTTTCTAGTTCAATTAATCTTGCTCGCCCGCGTGACACGGACTATGTCTTAAAAATCGTGCTGTATTTTTAGCTTGCGCAAGCGGAGTCAGATGAAAGTCTCACGATTTTAATATAGGTGTGTAATGGAGCCGTGACACGTTTTTTACTCTCGTTTTTCACCGGTTTTACAACATTTGTCGCATTTTCAAGCGAAAGTGTAACTCGAGAATTTTTTCTGTGTGTGCTTCGATTACTTTCTGGGGAGATTTGTCGAGTGGTTGGTAACACTGGAGACACTTTTATTACTTTCATTCCGCATTCATCTTTTCTTCATTTCTTTCATTTCCTCTTTAGAATTGCCATTCATTTCGTCATTTTTGCATACACATTTTGCTACACCCCCGATGGCTGAGTGAGTGAGTGCACATTTGTGTTGATGTATGCGCGCCGTTCGCGCTGTCAAACTGAACTCTACCCGATGGGGGGCGCGCGTCTCGCAACAATTTGATTCGACAAACATTTGTCATAATACGTTTTTTATGCGCCCCGCTATAAATTTGATAGACGACGTGCTTTCGGAATATTGCGTTCATATTCTTCGGAAGCTTTTTATATTATTGTGTGTTCCATTTCGTCTTTTTCTGCTGGATTATTTTATAGAG